GGAAAGAGGCGGCGAAAAAGGCAGCATTGCAGTGGACTGAGGCATTTTCTGAAGAACATCTCAGTCAATTGTTCTCCTCCTCCTTAGGGAATTCAGGTGATGAAAATCCTCTATATCCAACACCAAGATGTCCAACATGTGGAGAAATTGCCTCCAAACGATGTTCAAGATGTCGTCAGGAATGGTACTGTGGTCGAGAATGTCAAGTAAAGCACTGGTTAAAGCACAAGGGCGCTTGTGACTTGTTAGCAGAAGCAATAAATTCTGATAAAAACTCGAATTAACTTTCTTCATCATAACCATTTTTTAAAAAATCTAATGTAAATAATATTAAAGTTGAATCGAAACGTCTGAATTCCGCCATGTGAATCAGAAATTTATTTAACTATTTGTCATGAACAACACCGGTCACCTTCTAGATATTGTTCATTTTTACATTACAAGAGAACTGCATCTAATTCATTGATTTGGGACATCCTATCCGACTAGGAACCCATCTATATGTTGTTAGGATCCCAGTGGAACCAAAATACTGCTGTTACATTTACAGGAAAGGTAAACAAAAGATACTCCGTACAGTTCGTTTCTTTGACATACCTTGTAAGGGCAAAATCCTAGTAGTTTTATTGTTGTTACCTTGATAGTTACAAACAAAAGTTACGTGTATTAAAAGTTAGTCTAGAACCTGTGTGATCAGGTGACAATGAAAAAAAACTTCCTAGTTTTTGATACAAACGAATAAATAAGAATACCGTATTTGTCTTCTCCATAGGTTTTTTAGTGATTTCTGGATAATAATAATTAGATTCAACTATAATTCTAAATATATCAGACTGCAATTAGTCATCTTGTTTAGAGTATAGAGAAATGCTATGCAAAACAAGCGTATCAAAGACAATATTTTAGTGCTCTCAGTATGTATCGAGATGTCAGTTTCTAACTGAAAAGTAGTTCAGTATTTGTTGTATATTTTGAGGTAATATATGTTGTAATTTTTGGCTACAATCACACGAATTGAGTATATTCGTTTGTCAAGTACAGTTTCAATATTTTCAGAAAAATTCTACTAAACAGCTATTGATAGTTCACACACCCGACCGTTGTTGCTACCTAGACGTGGTGGTCGGGCTTGCCTATTGTGATGAAGCAAACGAGCTATACTGGCTGGAACAACTGTTCCTCAAGGTCCTACCATGTCAGACAGGTCGGTTGAAGAGCGGTAAAACTAAAAGCAACAAACCCAAGGTCCGAAGGCGAAGTCGTACTGCTGACTGTACAGAGGTGTGACAGCAGTAAGGTGTTTCCTTCAGACAACCAGCATGACAGCGATGCTGCCTTCCCACAAGGAGGGGTGGGGTTAGAAAAGGTCGACCCTAAAAATGCACACCTCGCCTTATCACACGGATATCCGTCTCCGGCGGTAAGGTCCAAAAAGTACGGAGCTAACACAAAAATTACCCATAAAAGGTCGTGTGTGACCGACCTCAAGCAGTTGTCCCTTGGGCACTGCGGTCACGCTCTCAGGTCACTAAGACCACCTCTAATCCAATTTCCTTTTCAGGTACCTCCAGAACAACCCTTCCACGGTGTGGGCAACCGGGAAGTGATAACCGCCCTCATACCTCTAACAGCACTCAAGACCACTGTATTCATAATCAACCTCCTCTTCAATTCCTATTATTCCTCCTACATCGACTTTCAACTCTAAACTTCCTTTTTCGGCTTCCTCCTCAAGTGTCACCGTAGCCAACGATTCTAGTGCTCAAAACACTGTCCCAGGTCTACTGAAACCTCGCTCCAAACTACACATTGGAGCCTTCAACGTACGCACCCTATGTCAAATCGGTCAACAGGCTTCCTTGGCTAAAACCCTAGAATCTCTTACCATTGATGTATGCTGTGTCTCTGAAACACGCATACAGGATCCCAGTGTGGTCATTCACTTGACCTCACCTCGGCAAAACGGAGAGCCAACGAGATACACCCTCCGTGTATCTGGTGACCCGATGGCCAGTTCTCGTGGACTGGCAGGTGTAGGCATAGCACTAAGCATGAGGGCGGAACAAGCACTGCTAGAGTGGATCCCCGTCAACAGTCGTCTATGTGCTGTTCGGCTAAACGGCTCCGTAAGAACTCGGAAGGATAGGGACACACGTCGTTGCCTTTTTGTCGTTTCTGCCTACGCTCTCACCGACTGCAACTATCTGAACTTCTTCAGAAAGCTAAACGCTCAGACATAGTACTCGTAGCAGGTGATTTAATGCTCAGATAGGTAGTTTAAACCAAACAGAAAGGCATTTAGGTGGATATTTTAGTATTCCGACACAGCGAACAGATAATGGTGATCGTCTGCTGCAACTATGCTCAGACAATCGTTTATTTTTAGCAAACACAAATTTTAAGCATAAGGAGAGACATCGTCTAACATGGCGACCCCCTACACCAAACCAACGATGGACTCAAATAGACCATATTGCCATCAGTCATCGTTGGAGAGGGTCGGTAGAAGATTGTCGCTCATTCTGGAGTACCTGCTTGGACTCCGACCATGCCCTAATACGGGCACGCATCTGCTTGCGCCTCACTGGACGCAAAAAAGCCACATTAAAAAGACCCATTAGAACTGAGTTGAGTAACGAGAAAACCAAAAGTAGGTTCCAGGAACAACTGAGGTCACACTTAGGTAGTTCTGAAAACGAGGCTGACCCAGATGTTGCTTGGAAAGCATACAAACAGCTGTGGAAACAGCAGTGACATCTATTAGTGACTTAAACCACAGAGTTACAAAGAACCAGTGGATTTCTTCAAGGTCTATTGCACTGATGGATTCTCGCAAACTCGTCCCATCAGGTTCTGAACATGATGAAGAGCGACAACAAATCAGATCTAGGTTAAGAAAAAGTCTAAGGAACGACCGTGAGCAGTGGTGGGCAACGAAAGCAAAAGAGATGGAAAAGGCGGCGACTATAGGGAACACAAGACAGCTTTACAGACTAATAAAAGAAACTGGAATTAATAAGTCAAGTGTAAGTGAGACGATTTCGGAAAAGACGATACCCTCATCTGCTCCCAGTCCAGACGTTTAGAACGATGGGCGGAACATTTTAGAGAACAGTTCAGCTGGCCTTCAGCTACTCTACAACTACCCTCCATTCCCAGACAGTGTAATGGAACATTGAAGTAGGTCCCCCAACTCTTGCTGAAGTTCAGAAGGCTATAGTTAATCTGAAACGAGGAAGGGCAGCTGGTCCAGATGGATTGGCTCCAGAGGTCTTTAAGGATGGTGGTCCAATTTTAGCGATTAGGTTGACTAATATTTTAGCTAAGATCTGGGAGTTAGACGTTATTCCATCTGACTGGTCACAATCACTTATCGTCCCAATATATAAGAAAGGGTCAAAATCATCCTGTGACAACCACAGAGGGATTAGTTTAACTAATATAGTATCTAAAATACTAGCCTCGATAATTATCTGACGCCTAACTAAGACTCGTGAACTGCAAACACGAGAGAACCAAGCTGGCTTCAGACCTGGTCGTGGCTGCATCGACCACATATTCACCATTCGTCAGGTTCTAGAACACAGGCATACTTATCGGCGTCCGACAATGGTGGTCTTTCTTGACTTAAAAGCAGCATTTGACTCGGTAGACCGCGAGACTTTGTGGCAGTGTCTGTCATTGAAAGGCGTACCTCAGAAGTACATAAACCTTGTGAAGGCTCTTTACTCGAACACTACTAGTCGAGTCAGGCTTATGGCGAACTGTCATCTACTTTTGCAACCTCAAGTGGTGTCCGTCAAGGCTGTCCACTTTCTCCATTTTTGTTTAACTTCATCATAGACCTATTGATGGAAATAACATTCTCGTCGACTGAATTCTCGGGTATTGATCTCCTTCCAGGAGGTCCACTTATCGACTTAGAATACGCAGATGACATAGTCCTGTTTGGTGAAGACGCTGACAAAATGCAGAGTCTTTTGGTAGCACTAAGCAACAATGCCAGAATGTTTGGGATGCGCTTCTCTCCCTCTAAATGCAAGTTGTTGCTTCAGGACTGGTCTGCGTCAACACCTGAACTAAGGATAGGGAGTGAAGTAGTCGAATGCGTTGACAACTTCACTTACTTGGAAGTCTGATCAGCCCTAATGGGTTGGTGTCTGACGAAATCTCAGCACGGTTCTCGTTTGGCTTTTGCCAACTTACGTCACCTATGGCGAAGGCGAGATATCCGTCTATCAATAAAAGGACGAGTATACTGCGCGGCAGTCCGTTCTGTTTTACTTTACGGCAGCGAAACATGGCCATTAAGAGTAGAAGACACTCGTAAGCTACTAGTATTTGACCACAGATGCCTTAGAAATATTGCTGGCGTCTGCTGGGATCACCGGGTAAGTAATAGTGAGGTTAGACGCAGGGTATTAGGATATGATGGTAAATCAGTTGATGAGGTTATGAATCTTCATCGACTGAGATGGTTGGGCCACGTGTTACGTATGCCTGAACACCGATTACCACGACGTGCAATGCTAACCGGTATTGGAGATGGTTGGAAGAAAGTTAGGGGCGGCCAAACCAAAACGTGGCATCAGTGCTTGAAGACACTAACTTCTAGTTTGAGCCATGTTGGTAGATGCAGACTACTTGGTTGGGGTCCGCGTGACTATCGTAACCAATGGTTGGAGACTCTAGGTGACATGGCTCAGAATGGATCACAATGGCGTAGATGTATACACTTTCTGCCTTCCCTTAGACTATGAGATTGAAATCTCCTCACATCTTCCTTTTTACGAACTAATTCTTTATTACGGTACTATATCCTTATTGCAATCTTTCTTTTATATATTACCACCACTGAATTAACTACTTCTATGAGTCCAGTGTTCATGTTGCTGTACTAATGAGGTATGACCACTTGGACCGATGCATATTTGTGTCTGGTCCTAAGTTGTAGCTGACTGACTGACAGATCACACAACATTTGGGTTGAGAAACAAAACTTATGCAATATAGTTATATTTTGACGTTTTTCCATAGACATTGGCTTCAACAACAATATCAGTACCAATCAGATGTTCGCAAATAAGTTAGTGAAATCACTATTTCCATAGCGTGAAATAATTAAAAGCATTTTAAGTAGGTTATAATCAAGGAAGCAAATATATATATAAAAAGAAAGTAACTGTAAAAAACCTAAATAACTGTACATGATCGTTGGGATTTATATGGATTGTCTCTTGGGGGACAGAGCAAGGGGTCATTTTGAGCGTTAGTGAAACAATAATTACGTATATCCCAAATGGTCTTGCTAAGAGCAATACGATTTAGCTCCAAGCTATGTTTGTAACATGCAATATCGAGTTTTTTCTGCTCGATTTCAGCCTGTCGAGGATTGTTTTGATCACCTTCCCCAGGATTATCGAAAGAGTTCATGTTTCTATGAGGTAAATTCATAATAAAAGCATGTAAACGTGTATGGATCTCATCATAGACAATAAAGCAATAGAACTGACTTGAAAAACAGTTGACCAATGATTATATAACACATGGTATATCTCTATTGTATAATCTAGCAAAAAACACCCAAGGTATATACTCTTATTCAACGACAATATGGCAGAGTACAGAACCAAGTTCGTGTTAAATTGTTATTTACTATGGGTGAGGATGAAAGTAATATCATTTCGTGGGTATCGTGAAAAATCATTTCCACGCTTAAAATAATAATGCCATTAGGCCATACGAAGTACGTCCTAAGTTTCTGGAGAAAATTTGTCTACGGGAGTCGGAGATAAACGGCGTGAGACTTTGTTGAAATATGCATTGGTCCGTGTTGCTATATTTCAGGGTACTGATAGGAAACAAACAAGGGGAAAGCATAGGAGTGAACACGACGGAGATAAAAGTAGTGAGAAATAAAAAAGAGAAACTTCAAAATAAACAGATTTATTGGGAATCAAAAATTAAAGTATCACAATATCCAGTGTATAAGATTGTAAAAAGTAAATGAATCTGTGCTACTACAAGCACTTTCGAGCCATGTCACTATTAGCACAGGTTTCACGTTTGTGGCGGGATATTGAAGTGCTAGTAATTTCATGTACTGATGTCGCATTTATGTCTGGTGCACTAAAGTTACTAACCAGCATAATACAAGGTAGGTTTTTGATAAATAGACGTGATACATATCAACCATCTCAGCCAATAAAAATAATGAACCTCATTAACTGACTTACCACATTTACCTAGAAATTCACAAATTATGTCAACAGTGACTAACGGTCAAGTCTTAATTTATTGAACGAATAAAAGTTTTTATATTCTGCAACTGTGATATTAAATAATATTTTTTTTGCTAGTAATTTGTATGTAAGCATGTTACTATGTTAAATAATAAGCCTATTTTTATGTAGCTGCCTTGTCTTCTGATGTCAGTTCATTTGGCAGTTTGGATCAATAATTTGGGATCGAGAGCAGTCATCAATCAGATACATTTTATTGATCCACTTTGGCAACTGATCAGTATTTTATCCAATCATTTTTCCACTCTTTGTGTTCGCCTAAATTCTAATCTCCTGAATTTTTCATGTCCCTTTTTCTGCTTCCTAATTTATTTCACTGGATTACACCCTTTGAATATCATCTTCAAACCCTAACCTTTCTGATTACTGCTTATAATTTGCTACGTCTACCACTATGGGATTTGAATTGACAATTGTATCTCTGTGCTAATGTGGTATGGCAACTCGAACTGATGTACGTACGTATGAAGTTCTATGTAGTTGATGACTGACTGACTGATGTAATCATTTTACAATAAAAATCATGAAGTTTTAAACCATAACAACTATTCACTGGGTGGTCCTACCCGACTCTAGAAAGCATTTAGGGTCATTTACGACTGAATTTGTTCTTATAATTGGGAAATTTTCGTCTTAAATCTCTGTAACCGTAGTTCGTAGATCTAGATTTTGGTGGAAACCTTGGACAATTGTACTATAAACCAGACACAGATATTAGGATTGACATACTCATTAGGAAAAATGCACTAAATATCAATGAGTAGAAACATTAGTGCTTAAGGGTAATAGGTGGTTTCTATAAGTCTAACGGGTTTCCTAGAATCTTGGAAATATTTGTTGAGTAAACAGTTTAACGGGTGTATTCCCACACCACCAAATGACTGACCCGACCGACCTAACTGTGAGGATGATGAAAACGATTACATACTCATCTGGTTGTTTTAACTTGCTAAAATACTGATGACTAATTTTGTGTCCTGCAGGCATAAATGGCTATTCGGCTCAGTATGACTGAACGTTCTAACATGTTAAACCAAGGAAACTAATGTAAACTTTTGAAAATCTTTAGCAGTAATCTTGATAAAACGTCAAAAGCTCGAAAATGATCGAGTCAACAATTATACGGAGAACATGCAGTCGCAGAAGCAGAGGTTGATAAAATGAAAAGTAAAATTACTTTTCATGTATGTCTGAGTATAATTGTGATGGTGATTTCAATATGCTACAACTGTTATGAAAGTTTAAGAAATACATTAATTTTATTCGACCTAGTTCGTCAAAAATGACAGATTATTAACTTCCATAAAAGCTTGAGTGCTAGTAGTATCTTAGAGTACCTTTTCCAAGTCCTGCTAGTAAGGATTAGACGTGATCAAATAATATAAGCTTACGAGTGTCTTCTACTCTTAATGGCCACGCTTCGCAGCCGTCAAGTAGAACAGAACAAACGGCCGCGCAGTATACTCGTCCTTTTATTGATAGACGGGTATCTCGTCTTCGCCATAGGTGACGTAAGTTGGCAAAAGCCAAACGAGAACCGTGCAGAAAATGTCGTCAGACACCAACCCATTTGTGCTGATCAGACTTCCAAGTGAAGTTGTCAACGCATTCGACTACTTCACTCCCTATCCTTAGTTCAGGTGTTGACGCACTCCAGTCCCGGAGCAACAACTTGCATTTAGAGGGAGAGAAGCGCATTCCAAACAACAAAAATATTGGTACAAGAGGGCACCAAAGATATATGCGCCACACAAAACAATGAGAATTCGAAGAGAAGAACAAAAGAAGGTAAGGAGCGTAAAAAATAGAACAATAACGAACAGATTAGTGTAAGGTAGTGTTACTTACTTACGCCTGTTACTCCCAATGGAGCATAGGCCACCGACCAGCATTCTCCAACCCACTCTGTCCTGGGCCTTCTTTTCTAATTCCACCCAATTCTTTTTCATTTCTCTCATGTCTATTTCCATTTCTCGGCGTAATGTGTTCTTTGGTCTTCCTCTTTTCCTTTGGCCTTCAGGATTCCATGTGAGGGCTTGTCTTGTGACGCAGTTGGGTGCTTTCCTCAATGTGTGTCCTATCCACTTCCAGCACTTCTTCCTGATTTCTTCCTCCGCTGGGATCTGGTTTGTTCTCTCCCACAGTACATTGTTGCTAATAATGTCCGGCCAACGGATCCGGAGTATTTTGCGTAGACAACTGTTAATGAACACCTGTATTTTCTGGATGATGGCTTTCGTAGTTCTCCAGGTTTCTGCCCCATACAGTAGAACTGTCTTGACATTTGTATTGAAAATCCTGACCTTGGTGTTGGTTGACAGTTGCTTTGAATTCCAGATGTTCCTTAGTTGTAAATATGCTGCTCTTGCTTTGCCGATCCATGCCTTCACATCTGCATCAGATCCACCCTGTCCATCAAGGATGCTGCCCAAATACGTAAAGGTTTTTACATCTTCCAAATCTTCTCCGTCAATTGTGATTGGATTGGTGCATCCTGTTTGTATCGGAGAATCCTGCTTTTCCCTTTGTGTATATTGAGACCTACTGCTGCTGAGGCTGCTGCCACACTGGTCGTCTTCTCCTGCATCTGTTGTTGCGTTTGAGATAGAAGGGCCAGATCATCTGCGAAGTCCAGATCGTCCGACTGCATCCTAGGTGTCCATTGTATCCCGTGCTTCCCTTCAGACGTTGATGTCTTCATGATCCAGTCGATCACCAGGTAGTGTAATAATAATAAAAATAATAGTAATAATAGTAATAATGGGGGAAACGGAAAGGTACAATCAGAAATTTTCCAGTTAAAGAAGCTACGACCACTTTTTATGAAGTAAAAGAAGGTTACAGCAGGATCGCCACTGGCTTCTATTCTGAGCCATATCTGATAACGTCTCTAGCCACTGTGTAGCACCATCTCTCGGACCCCAACCAGGGAGTCGTGAAGGACCAACACAAGCCAGTCCTTTGCAGCTTTCTTTCATGCCACGACACCATGTCATGCACTGACCACCTCTCCGCTTCTTCCAACCAGTCCCAGAGTCGGCAAATAATGCACGACGTGGAATTCTCTGGGACGACATTCGGAGAACATGTCCAAGCCACCGAAGTCGGTGTTTCAAGATGGTGACACCAATTGAGTTATCATCTCTGTGCCCGAACACACGATGCCGAACCTCTGCATTACTGACATGGTGTTGCCACTGAATGTCAGCAATCCTTCGGAGACAGCGATGATCGAACACAGAGAGTCGTCTAACGTCCTCAACTCGGAGAGGCCAGGTTTCACAAGCATAGAGCAAAACTGCTCTCACCGACGCGTTGTAGATCCGACCTTTTACAGCCAGACTAACATCACGAAGGCGCCAAAGGTGGCCCAGATTGGCATAAGCCGCTCTGGCTTTCACTATTCGTGCATTGATCTCATCACTCACACCCCCACCAGCACTTATGCAGCTACCCAGATACACGAACTTCTCAACTACGTCTATCTGCTCACCATCCAGGGTGAGTACAGGATTAGAATCCTGCCAGTCTTGTAGAAGTACTTTGCACTTCGAAGGTGCAAAGCACATACCATACCTACGGACACTGATTGCCAACTGATTAAGTGCGGATTGCATGCCTTGGGCATTATCGCACAGTAAGACAATATCGTCCGCATACTCAAGGTCGAGAAGTCTTTCTCCAGGCAACAGATCCACACCACCATTACTTACATTCATCAGAGCTGTTTCCAGAATGTCATCGATGGCAAAGTTGAAGAGGAATGGTGAGATTGGGCAACCCTGCCTAACCCCACTGCTCGAATGGAACAATGGAGAGAGGTGGTTGTATGCCCTCACTCTGCCTGAGGTGTTTTTATACAGGGCTTTTAGGATGTTAATAAACTTCTCAGGCACACCCTTCTTCAATAGACAATCCCAGAGAACAGTCCTGTCCAACGAATCGAAGGCAGCCCTGATGTCAAGAAACACTACGATTGTTGGCCTTTGATAAGTATGGCGGTGTTCTAACATTTGGCGGAGGGTGAAGATATGATCAATACATCCTCGACCAGAACGAAACCCAGCCTGCTCCTCGCGAGTCAATCTTTCTCGGGTTTTGAACAACCTACGAAGTATGACGGAAGCCAATAGCTTGGACGCAATCGGAAGTAGACTTATCCCCCGATAGTTGTTACAGGAACGACGTGAACCCTTTTTAAAGATAGGGACAACTATCGACTCATTCCATGACGTTGGTACACTCTCTAGTTCCCAAACCTTTGTAAACAACGTCGTCAATTCCTTAGTCAAAAAGTCACCACCATCTTTAAAAAGAGCCGGAGGTAAGTCATCTGGGCCAGGTGATTTGTAACGCTTCAAGAGTTGGAGTTCCTTGCGGACTTCCTCCTCATTTGGTGGATCAGTCGTCACCGGCCATGGAGGGCAGGACAGTCTGACCGATGTTGCCGGAGCAGCAGGCCAGTTGAACTGCCCTTCGAAAAATTCTGCCCATCGTCCAAGACGTCGATGGATGTTAGTGATTGGCATCCCATCATCCTCGCAGATTGTTTCACTCACACCAGACTTCTTGCTGCCAGTGGCTCGGATGAGCTGGAAGAGCTTCCGGTAGTTACCAGATGCAGCTGCTGCTTCCAGCTCATTAGCACGCTTCGACCACCAGGCTTCTCGGTCCTTACGCAAGCTTTGCCCGATTTCCTTACGTAACATCCTTCGTTTATGGTCAAACTCACGGTCACCCGGAGTAGACCGACGGGCTTCAATGAGTTGTAAGGAACCAGAAGAAACCCAGTGCTTAAAGCGGGACGTTTCGCAAACCCACAACTGACTGTTCCCGCCATTTTCATGGCGTCATGCAATTGCAACCAATGCTCATCTATACTTTTCGGTGGAGTGGTAGCTAGCCTAGAAGCTAGCTCGATTCGATACTTACTAGCAACAGAAGTTGCAACCAACTTGCTAATATCAATCCGTTGATGGCGGTCACTTCGTTGTCCACTGAAAAGTAAGGTAAGATTGCCGCAGACCAGGGCATGATCCGAGTCCAGATAGATACTCCAAAAGGAGCGGCAGTCTTGTACACAACCACGCCAGCGATAGCTGATCGTGATGTGGTCAATCTGAGTCCAGGCTTGAGATGCAGAGGGAGGACGCCAGGTGGCACATCGGCGATGACTGTGCCGAAAGTTAGTGCTAGCCAGAAACGGGATGTGGTCTGTTCACAGTTGCAGTAGACGCTCACCGTTATCTGTCCTGCGACCAACAAGTCCCCATCGGCCACCTAAACGACTCTCTTCTGTGCCTAGACGCCCGACCTGAGCATTCAAGTCTCCGGCTAGTACCACAATATCTGTCGAACGCACTTTCTGGAGAAGAACAGATAACTGTTGGTAGAATTCATCCTTGATTGCATCCGGGCTGCAATCTGTCAGGACATAGGCG